ATAAAAGGTTTAACAGCAGATAGAAGTGTCTCAATTAATGGCCTTTCTTCTTAACAAAATATTTCAAGCAAGACAGCATCTTAAATAAGTATAGTTTCCTGAGTTGACCTTCTTTTTTATAACTATGTCCTTGTAACTTTGTTTAAACAATAATTTTTCTACATTGCCCAGGTTGAACTCAAACTCTTAGAATCAAGGAATCTCCCCAGCCTTGGCCTCCTGAGTAGCCGGGACTACAAGCACATACCACTGCATCTGGCTTACAGAACAGCTTTTAAAAGGCAATATTTCTTTGTAGTTATGCCTCCTACAAGTGGCCAAAAACCCGTATGTTGTCAATCTACCATTAAACTACACATTCAAAAAATCACTAACTAATCTGAAAGCTCCCCACAAAGCAGAAAGGCTGAAATTCTTTGAGCCCCTGAATATTGGGACTGAAAGGTAGGAGTAAAATATCAAGCCTGCATCCCAGGTCTCCCATGGGTGAATCTAGGTATGAGCAGTTCTCTGCTTATAAGTTAAGGTCAAGGTCAGGTTGGTGAAATCCACGCTTGTTGTAGGTGAAGAATTTAGGTTTGGAGCTTTTAGATACATCTTTAGTGACCACATGAGGGCTAATACCTTTTAAAGATTTAATGAAGGGCAAGGGAACTGCTTTTTCAGGGCATAGCCCTGTTGTGTTTTGGCACTATCTGGAGAGCTTACCAGTGATAGGTGGAAAATTCCATATCAGCCTCTAACTATCTTGGGGAAGTTGCTGAAAATTCTCAAGGCTCAGCTTTCACATTGGGAGAGTAATAACTTCATAAGACTGTTATGAGAAATGACAGCGTGATTGGTTGGTTTATTAAAGCGGGGGTCCCCAACTCCCAGGCCACGAACTGGTACCTGTCCGTGGCCCATTAGGATCCAGGTGGCAGAGCAGGAAGTGAGCGTCAGGCCCGCGGAATTACCACCTGAACTCCACCTCCCGTCAGATCAGTGGCAGCATTGGATTCTCACAGGAGTGCTTCCCCCCTTTTGTGAACTGCGCATGCGAGGGATCGAGGTTGCCCGCTCCTTATGAGACTCTAATGCCTGATCGTCTGAGATGAAACAGTTTCATCCTGAAACCCTCCCCACCTCCCAGTCTGTGGAAAAATTGTATTCCACAAAACCGGTCTCTGGTGCCAGAAAGGTTGGGGACTGCTACATTAGAGGACATAACAAACCTGTTTAAAGCAGGGAGTATAGCCCCTGGCACATAATAACTGCTCAGCAAACCCTGGTTTCCTTTTTTCATCTAGCCCTAATCTCACATTCAAGATCAATTTCACTTCTAGCCAAATAATTTGCATTCACTGATATAATTTTATAGGTAATAGAAAATTCCCAGAAAAACAAAACAATCTACCAAATCATGGCTGATTTGCTAATTCTTTCCATCAGAGTCACTCACCTGACTCACTCCTTTATTTCATTTAAGATTCTGTGATTATGGCCACCTCCTCAGAGACATCTTCCCTGCCCACCCTGTCTAAGATAATTCCACTCCATATCAGTCTTTATCTCCTTATCCTGCTTATTTTGTTCACAGCATTTATGGCTACCTGAAATTAACATACATATATTTGTTTATTTCCTACCTTCCTCCACTAATATATAGGCTCAGCAATGGCAAAAATTTTGTCCATCTTGTTCATGACTGTTCTCCTAGCACAATATTCAAAACAGTCTAGAGGCCAGACGTGGGGCTTACACCGGTAATCTTAACCCTTTAGGAGGCCAAGGAGGGAGGATCGCTTGAGCCCAGGAGCTTGAGACCAGCACCAGCAACATGATGACAGCTATCTCTACCAAAAAAAAAAAAAAAAAAAAAAGCAAAACACATGATACATGCCTTTGGTCCCAACTACTCAGGAAGCTGAGGCAAGAGGATTGCTTGAGCCCAGGAAGTCAAGGCTGCAGTGAGCGGCGAGTGCACTACTGCACTCTATCCTTGGCAACAGAGTGAGACCCTGCCTCAAAAAAATAAATAAATAATAAAATGAAGCAGTGCCTGAACACATTTATAGGTGCTTAATAAGTATTTGTTGAATAAACAAGTTATTTTTTAAAAAATTTTATTAAAATTGTATTTGAAGATGTAAATTGTGATGTTTTGATATATTAATACATATACATAGGAAATTACTGTGGTCAAGCTAATTAACATTTTATGTGTGTAGTAAGAACACTTAAATCTACTTTCTTTGCAAATTTCTAGAATACAATACTAACTATACTCCCCATGCAATACATTAGCTCTCTAGAACTTACGCATCCTACATACTAACTTTGTACTTTTTGACTAATATCTTCCCATTTCCCCCATCTTTCACCTCTGGTAAGCACCATTCTACTCTGCTTCTATGAAATTGAATTTTTTAGATTTCACCTATAAATGAAAGCATGCACTATTTTTCTTTCTGGGTAGGGCTTATTTCACTTAACATAATGTCCCCCAGCTTGATTCATGTTGTTGCAAGAGGCAGAATTTCCTTTTTTTTTAAGACTAAATAATATCCCTGTGTGTGTGTGTGTGTGTGTGTGTGTGTGTGGCGTGCACGCATGTATCAATTTCTTTATCCACTCATCTATCAGCAGACACTTCGTTGTTTTCATATCTTGGTTATTATGAATAGTGCTACAACAAACATGGGAATGCAGACATTAATATCTCTTTGACATTACTGATTTCATTTACTTTGGATATATACCCAGAAGTGAGATTGCTGGATCATATGACGAAAATAGTTTTATTTTTAATTTTTTGAGGAACAGCTATACTGTTTTCCATAATGACTACATACGTGTTATCTTATGACTTTTTGATAACAGCCATCCTAACAAGTGTGAGGTGATATCTCATTGTGGTTTTGATTTGCATTTGATGATTAATGATGTTAAGCACCTTCTCATATATCTATTTGGCCAAGACCTGGAACCATAAAACTCCTAAAAGAAACAAAAGGAACAAGTTATCTCTCTCTTTTTTTTTTTTTTTTCTTGAGGCAGAGTCTCATTCTATCACCAAGGCTGGAGTGCAGTGTTGCAATGACAGCTCGCTGAAGCCCCAACTTCCCTGGCTGGAGTTCATGCAACGGCATGAATATGACTTGCTGAAGCCTTGACCTCCTAGGCTCAAGCCATCTCCCACCTCTGCCTCTGTGTAGCTGGGACTATGGTGGGTGCCACCACACCCAGCTAATTTTTTGCTGTTTTTGTAGAGATGGGGCCTCGCCATGTTTCCCAGGCTGGTCTTGAACTCCTGGGCTCAAGTGATCCCCCACCTCAGCTTCCCAAAGTACTGGGATTACAAGCATGAGTTACCATTCCCAGTCAAGAACAAGCTCCTTGACACTGGTCTTGGCAATGCTTTTTTTGGATATGACACCAAAAGTACAAGCAACAACAGCAAAAATAAACAAGTGGGACTGTATCAAACTAAAAAGTTCTGCACAGCAAAGGAAACAATCCTGTGAGAGAAGGCAACCTATGGAATGGGATAAAATATTTGTAAACTATATATCTGATAAGGGGTTAAGATCCCAAATACATAAGGAACTCAGTCAACTCAACAGCAAAAAATAAATAACCTGATTTAAAAAATAGGCAAATGACTTGAATAAACATTTTTCCAAACAAGTGATGTTTCAAATTCTACAACCAGCCATAATTTCCTTCTCTTAATGCTTTATTTTTAACAGGAACCATAATATATCCAGCGCTTACTTGATCTCTTACCACAAATATGTGGATAATTAATTTAATCTTCTGGACACCTTGACAAAGAGTCTCTTTTTGAGCTAACTCTAGGCTCCTCTAAACCCTGTAGGCCTCAACCTTCAGTATTCATCTTGGCATTGCCCAATTTTAAAACTGCTAAGTCAATTTAGTGAGAATCTTCCACCCTTAATATCTGATCATCCTTGATATCTGATCAAATTCCTTATCTCCCACTGATATTTGATCACTTTGATCTGCGTTCAGTAAGAATGCTCTTCGGTCATTTAGCCAGAATCCTCCCTTACTCCTGGCAATAAAAAAAGAGTCAAACTCGGTGAAATATTTTAAGGGATTTATTCTGAGCCAAATACAAGTGACCAAGGCTCAAGGCATAGTCTCAACAGGTCCCAAGAACATGTGCCCATGGTGGTTGGGTTACACCTTGATTTTATACACTTCAGGGGGACAGAAACTACAAGCAGAGTTGTAAACCAATAATGTAAGGTATATATTGATCCAGCCTGGAAAGGTGAGACATCTCAAAGCAGGGGCTTCCACATCATAGGTGGATTTAAAGGTTTCTCTGGTGGCAATTGGTTTAAAAAGTTCTGCCTGAAGAATTGAGGCCAGCAGAAAGAAAAGTTTGTGGCTGATACAGAGGGATTATCAGCTAAGGTTCTTGTCAGGTAGATGTAGCCTCCAGATTAGCAGACTTCAGGGAACAGATGGTACATATCTCTTGCTAGACCCTTAAAGGTGCTACACTCAGTTAACTCTCTCCTGGATCAGGAAAAGACATGGAAAAGGAAGGGGATTCTCTACAGAATGTAGGTTTTCCCCACAAGAGATAGCTTTGCAGGGCCATTTCAAAATATGTCAAATAAATATATGTGGGGGCCGGGCACAGTGGCTCGTGCCTGTAACCCCAGCACTTTGGGAGGCCAACGTGGGTGGATTACCTAAAGTCAGAAGCTTGAGACCAGCCTGGTTAACATGGTGAAACCCTGTCTCTACTAAAAGTACAAAAATTAACTGGGCATAGTGGCAGGTGCCTGTAATCCCAGCTACTTGGGAGGCTGAGGCAGGGAGAACTACTTGAACCCAGGAGGTCGAGGTTGCAGTGAGCTGAGGTCACAACACTGCACTCCAGCCTGGGTGACAGAGCAAGACTCCATCTCAAAAAAAAAATGGAGTAAAATGTTTCTATTTCTTTCAGGGCTTGCTACCTGTCATGTGATGCTATACTAGATTCAGATTAGAATTTGGTATCTTATTGTTACACAGAGCTCTGTTTTAATGTTAATGCTGATAAGTTGTGTCTGGATTACAAAGGGAGGAGGGTGTAAAAATGAGGTATGTCTGATCCTCCCTTCCTATCACAGCCTGAACTCATTTCTCAGGTTTACTTTGGAACGCCTTTGGTCAAGAGAGGGTTCCATTCAATTGGTTGAGGGGCTTAGAATTTTATTTTTGGCTTATCCCCTGATGTTTCCTCTTAGTGATTGTTTATCTGTTGACTCCCACCCTGCTCTTTGTCTATAAATCTTCACCTGTGCTTGCTGTATTCAGAATTGAACCTAGTGCTATACTAAACTAGACACATTTTCCCCTACTGTAATAGTTCCTAATTAAAATCTGCTTTTACCACTTTAATTACTATGCAGCTCTAGTTTTTCTTTGGAAGCCTTTTATGAGATAGGAACAATTATGATCCCATAATACAAGTGAGAAAACTAAGGTTTAGAGAGATTAAGTCTCTCCCAAAGACAGACATGCAGAGGCAATTAATCCTAGGTTACTGGACTATATAATCATCTGCACCTCTAATTTCCCCCCACCCCTTCCTGATTCTACACTTAAATTCTACTGTAGTTTAAATCACATCTCTATTTCATGTCAAAATGAAAATGTCTTTGAGAATGAGTAGCAATGTAAACTGTTGTCATTCATTTACTCTTTTTGGTACATGTCAACTTGTAAATAGGGTTGGGGAGAAGGAGACAGAGTTTAGAGGTCTGAATACCTGAGAAGGAAAATCTTAGAATCAGGACAATAGCATATAAGCCTAAGGATATATTGCAGCATTTTGCCAAAGGATGCTGCACCCTCTAATCATTCCACAGCCAGAGCTCTCTTCCTCCTTAATGCTGAGATGTTTTCTCTTTGCAATTTAGCATCTCCAAGACAGTGTAGCTCTGGGGGATTGGTGGTTTGACAATACTTTCCTTCGATGTAAAAGAGGTCAGTCAGACACTGGATAAGAAATTGCCAGAGGTTGTTTTGCTGTTGTTGTTGTTGTTGACTCCAGTGTTACTTCTTCCTGCATTAGTGAAAGTTGAGAAAAAGTGTTAGATGATTGAATTTGGATATCACCTGTGCAGTCACAGCGCTCAGCAGGACAGACCACAGCCGGCATGTCACTATGATCACAGCGAATAGGACATGTTGTTTAGCAAAGGAAAGCATAAGAATAACAAGGCACCAGGTTGGCTCTATATGTAAGTAGGAAGGAAGATGACTTCCATGTTTTAATTTGAGAGGTACTACAGATTGCTGGTTTCAAACAATCAGTCTTAAATCTTAGTTTGAGATTTTCCCATTAATGTCATTTCACTTCCAGGAAGACATTGTCATCTCCTAAATTCTCCCTTGCTTGAGACGGTAGGAAGGGCACATAAAGCGTGGGTTAGCTCACTGTTGCCATAGAAACTAGAAGCAAGGCCCTGCGGGGATGAAACATTGTGCAGGTAAATTTTCGTGAGGAGGAAAATGGACAGAGTGAGAAGTTAGACAAGGTGGCACCATAATTGGTGGCCCAGGGCAGCCACAGGGCAGGCATCTAAAAAACAAAAAGGTTCTTTTCATTTTAGTCAGGTACAATCTTAAATTTCTCATCACCAAGTTAGGCATTGCAACCTTGAAATGGCTGGCTGTTGTTCTCTTTAACAATGCATGGGTTAAAAAAAAAATCTCAGGTTCTTCATCCTCTAGTCCATTTCCAAGACAAATGTAATTTAAGTTTCCTGAGCAACAACAAAAAAATTGGAATCAGCCTCCAGCCTTGTATACGGAATACAAAGACAATTGACCAGATAGCAGGATCTTTCTTATTATGTTCCCAGATACTCATCTAGCACAATAGATTGTAGGAGGGAATAAATAGACTGTGGTTCTAAATAAATAAATACATGAAATTTTAAGAAAGTCATTATCTTTCAAATGAAGGTTTCCAATGCAAAAATAAATCTTATACACATAACGTCATAGAGAAGGGAGGAACCTTAAAGGTCTTCTAATTCTATCCCCTCCTTTTACAGAAAAGAGGACTGAGAGCCAGAGAGGTTAATTATGTCCTCTAGCCACCTAATCACTCTGTCATTTCTAATTATTGCTAGGAAAAAATCCAGAGATTCCCAGTGCCCTCCATTTGTGTGCACTGAAAAAAATCAGTTTGCCTATCAGCAGGAAATGTCAGCATCAAGGCCAAGAATGTTCAATTTGTTAATAATAAAAATAATAAGAGCTGACATGTATTGAACACTTACCATGTGCCAGGCATGGGGCTAAATGCTTTACAACTTGTGTCTCACTTAATTCCCAAATAGTCCTGTATGGTTGTTTACCCCATTTTACAGATAAAGCATCAGAGCTGAGAGAAGCTAAGTAACTTGTTTATAGTCAAACAAGTACTAAGGACAGACCGAGGATTTGACTCACAGTTATTGCTTCTTACCACAACTCTAAACCCTATTTATTTGATGGCTATTTCCATGTATCTCTTTCCTGTAAGAGAACCAGGGATCAATAATTAACTGCATTCATGAGTTTAATACCTCCCTCTGACAGCTAAAGGCACATCCGAGGAAAGTCATGTAACTCTAGCCATCTCATCATACTCTCTGAGAACGTTTTGAGAAATTACTTTTTTCTGATTACAAATGTAAATCGTATTCAGTACACAAAATTTTAAAACACAGACAAGCATAAAGAAGAAAATTAAAATTTCCTGTAATTACACCAAGAATCACATGCAAGAAAATCTGTATTTCATACTTCTCTCTCAAAGACCACTATATTCCTTGCAAAATTTAGCAATAGACTTTAGTATTTTCTACATGGGTTACTTTCCTCGGGGATATTCATTTAGTGAACCACCATTATCAAACATTATTTACTTTAGTTCATTCATTTATTCAATGAAGATCAATTGCTTGAATGTCTACTCTGTGGCAGGCACACTGCTAGTTACTAGAACTCATTGATGGTGACAGATACACCCTGATCCTGGCCTCATGGAACCTACAGACTACTTCTCTGAAATAAGTTTTCAGTGAATTTCACCTTAATTAGCCTCAAAAGATACAGATGCTTTTAGTCCATATGTCGAGCTGAAGTAATTATTTCCCTCAATGTGATAGATGAAGGCTGATATGAAGACAAATCTTATGGTATCTTAACTGACACAGAGCAATTAGAAATTATTTTAAATTGGGCTGGGTACAGTGACTCATGCCTGTAATCTCAGTGCTTTGGGAGGCCAAAGTGGGTGACTTGCTTGAGGCAGGAGTTTGAAACCAGCCTGAGCAACATAGTGAGACCCTGTCTCCACAAAAAAATTTAAAACCAGCCAGGCCTGATGGCACACATCTGCAGCCCCAGCTACTGAGGAGGCTGCGGTGAAAGGATTGCTTGAGCTCGGGAGTTGGAGGTTGCAGCGAACTGTCATCACAACACTGTACTCCAGCCTAAGTGATAGAGGGGGATGAAAGAAAAAATAAATAAAAAGGAAAATGAAGAAAGAAAAAAAGAACTTAAAATTGCAGGTCTTATGATTTCTTATCAAGGGAGAAAAAAGTAAGGCTGAGATTTTAGGAATTTCCTACCTTAAAAGTTCTTCCTGTCTTCTCTTGATACTAAATTGGCAGCCTTATGTGTCGAGGGATTAGGAAGGGGTCTTTGTGTTTGGAATTCCTGTAGCATGGACAAAATTTGCCATTAGTCAAGCTGCTGAGGTGATTGAAATGTGTGACTAAAACTCATTCTAAACCACACATGACAGGGCCTGCTTTCCTATGAACACGTGTTTATCGGGGTATGGTTACCAGGAGCCTAAAGGCTGTGGGGATGGAGAAGAGGCTTTATAAGTCAGAGATGAATGTCTTCATTTTCTATGGCTTCTATAATTGCCACAAACTTAGTAGCTTAAAGCAACACAAATCTATTTTCTTATGGTTCTAGAGATCAGAAGTCTAAAATGGGTCTATAGGACTGTGTACCTTCTGGGGGCTCTAGGGGAGGATCTGGCATTGTCTTTACCAGCTTCTACAGCAGGAGTCCCCAGCCCCTGGGCCATGGACCAGTACCACTCCATGGCCTGTTAGGAACTGGGCTGTGCAGCAGGAAGTGAGCACCAGGCAAGTGAGTATTACCACCTAAGCTCCGCCTCCTGTCAGATCAGCAGCAGCATTAGATTCTTACCTGAGTGTGAGCTCTATTGTGAAATGCACATGCAAGAGATCTAGGTTGTGTGGCCCTTATGACAGTCTAATGCCTGATGATCTGAGGTGGAACAGTTTCATCCCAAACCACTGTCTCCCTGCCAAGTCCATGAAAAAATTGTCTTCCACAAAACTGGTTCCTGGTGCCAAAAACATTGGGGACCGCAGCTCTAGAGGCTGCCTGCATTCCTTGTCTCATGGCCCCATGTTATTGACCGCTGCTTTTATTATCACATCTGCTTTGCTGGCTGTGACCTTCCTGCTTCCTTCTTATGAGAACCACTGTGATTGCATTAGGCCCACTTAGATAATCCAGGATATTTTAACTATCTTGAATGTCTTAATCACATCCATAAAGTCCCTTTTATGGTGTACAAGGACCAGAGATTAGGACTTGAACATCTTTGATTGGGGACATGATCCAGCCTACCACACTCTGTAAAGGCTAATGAGTATTTCACATTTTTGGTGAGCTGGGGCTGTCTGCAACAGGGGCGTGAATCCTTCCAACATTCTCTCCCCTCTCCACAATTCCTCTCCTGTCCCTTCTCTCAGCAATTTATCAGGATTCAAGGCCTGAGTCATTCTTACTGGGCTTATCCTTCCTCCCATAGGCAACAAGACATTGGCGTCAGAGTTCTGCTCCCAGATACACTTCCAGTTTCATTACACCATAACTATTATCACCACTTGAGATGCCCAAACGTCTATTTGGAAATAGGATTTAGACTCAAAGCTACTTATATCAGGGCCTTGAAAGGAGACTTAGTCACTGAACATTTATTTTCACCATACAATTGCGAATTTCTGATTGTAAATTTGGAGAGGATAAACCTAAAAATTAAGGTCTGCTCTCTCTGGCATAACTTCTGTAGGCATTTTGGTAAGTGAGGCAAGCAGTGGAAAGTATTCCAATGCCCCTTGAATCGTAAACTTAGCCAATTCCAAAGGACCTACAAAAAATATGATTGATGAACTATTTTGCCATCCCTTTTAAGGTGAAAGCTCCTTAACAGAAGAGGCTAAAAGACTTGGAGTCTAATGCATAGATTGTTAAATGGATGTCAGTGGTGGTGATACACCTACAGAAGGAAAAGCATCTCAAAGCAGAAATTCCAAATAGGAGGCACACATACTGCCTTTACCATTACACACCCAAGACAGACATCACTAATCAATCAAGTATTGTTCCACCAGAGCCTGGTTCTGGCCTTAAAGCCCTTCCTGAGTGCTCCAGGTAGCCACTACCACTCAAGCAGAGTTGGCAAGCAAATTGAGCTCTATTAGATGTCCCTGTATTAGAAACAGAGTCAATGCCCTCCTGTTTCCAGACATTAAGGAAAATTCCTCCTACTGCAACCTAGCAATAAAAATGATCTAATGTCTAGAACACCACTTAAGCTCAATTTCTGGAGCTGGCAAAACCCTTGGAGAGACTTAATCAACAGTGAAGCAGATTCCTCAGTTTTCGTATTTTCTATCTGAAGACCTTATGTGGGGATCCTATCTGGTCTGTGCCTCCAGCTCCTCCTCTGGAGGTACTGGATAGTGGGGGCTTCTCCCCCTTTTTCTTCAACAAGACTTCTACACTTTGAATTCTTGCATTAAATGTGCAGCCCCACCCCCCAATTTCTGCTCTTTCTTCCTTAATTATGTAGCTCTCCTCTGCTTTCCTCAAACCAGAATCCTCCTAGGTCCCCAAGAGCACCCTCCCCAGGGAGCACTTGATGACAGTATTGTCAAATTCTTCAAAGGCAAGGAGGAGTAAGAAACACAAGCTCATCCATCCCTGTCTCTTTTTTTCACCTTGTGATTTCCACTCACAATAAGCAGCCTTAGAGGTTATCAAACACCCCACTGTGCTTTGACAGTTATTCATCCATTAAAGCCTCTGATCGCCTGGATTCCGGACTGTACTCCGACTCCACAAACATGGCTCCTCCACTGCTCTCAGGCACTGTGGCTTGCTTTACACCTAAGCTTGCGAGGAAGGAGGAAAACCCAGCTCGTTCAAACAGCTCAGCCACAGGTGAGCCAGCCACATCAGAACATGGGAGGGGGAGAAACCAGCACGCGCTCGCTTTTTATTAAAAAAAAAATGATTTACGCAGCTGATTCCCTCAAATTTTAAATAGGATCTCAGGGAGATTTTTCACTTTGGACCAAAGCCATCTGGAGCTTGCAAAATCCTGGAAGAGACAGAATCAAAAGAGCAGATCTCTTCAGTCTCCCTATTTCATTTCAACGCCTCTCTCAGTCCCAGTCAATAACCCAGCTGTAAGCTCTGCAGCGAAGCGCATTCATCTCGCTTTGTGTCTGGATCGCAGGCTTCAGAGGGGGCTTTTCAGCTTGAATACAAACCGACTGATTGCCTTCCTGCAAGGTTCCCGCACCGGAACGCCCACCTGAGCCCTTGTTCTTCAGCCGCAAGTGCAGGAGCTTGCCTGGGTCAAGCCGAGTACACAGGGGCCTGAGCCTGCCTGCAGGAACGCACCGCGCTGTGTCACTACCCACTAGGCCAGCGGGCAGGGACAGAGAGAGCAGCCTGCCACCGCGGAGGGAGGAGCCGAGAGCCTCTGAGTAGGGGAGCTGTGAACCTGGGGACAGAGGAGGTTACAGGGATGCTGAGAAGGCACACAACTCTCCAGGCAGGGCATCTGTGACTCAGCAGAGTTTAATAGCAGTTCCCTGAGGTGTGTGAGTCCAGCGCCTTTGACAGAATTATTATGGCATGTATGCATTCGGGCTTTATCATTAGAAAACCCGAGGTGCTAGATCTTTATTTTTTAAATTATTTTTGTTTTGAGAATTTATTTTTCAAAAAAATAGAAAGCACAAAACAATATACATCTGTGCATACCCTCCAGTCAGAAGATACTACTAACATTGTGCAATGTTTGTTTCAAGTCTTGTTTTGAAGCCGTAAATGAAGGAAAGCACAACACAAGAAGGTGGACCCCACTTTGCTCCCTTTATCCTCCCTCCCTAGTCCCTTCCCCCGGCCCAGAAGACACCACTTGTGAGGCCTGAACTCACTTCCTTCTAATCCACTTTTAGACTTCTACCCAAATAATCACTATAGCAATATAGAGAATATGTGATTTGGGGGCATGTATTTAATAATTTGTATCATTCTGAGCTTCTTTTCTGCAGACTTGTTTTTTTCCATTCCATATTGTGATGCTTTGCTGATTCCACATTATTCTATCTACAGAGATCTAGTTCACTCATTTTAACCATTATATGACATTGGGTCCCATGATTTCTAAGTCCCCACCTGGCCTTAATACTATGCCAGTGGTCCTTAAGCTGCATATTAGAATCACCTGGGGTACCCAGGTGGTGTTAAAAATGCAGGCGCCCAGGCTGTGTTCTCAGAGAGTCTGATGGCACTGGTGTAGAGTTAGGCTGGGCATTGCTTTTGTTAGAAATCTTCTAGGTGGTCTTAATATGCAACTAGGATTGAGAACCCTACCCCCTACGGATTCTGTGATTCCTGGAAGGAGAATTGCCAATACCCATTTTGCCTCTCCTGGGTACAAGCAGTTTTACATCTTCCAACAGATTTACATCAACCAATATGAATTTGCTAGGGATACTCCGTGAAATCTGCTGATAGCTGTGTCCGAGGGGTGGCAAAATTCTCTCTCCCTTTATCTTACTGCTAAACAAAAGGTGCTTCTGGACCCTAGTAAGTGGCTTACCTTTACCTCTGTTCCCTGGAAGAAATGGAGATGTTCCTATTGATGAGACTATCAGGGAGACTATCAGGTAAGAAAGAAAACCTGGGAGAGTAGAATGTGAAGGGAATCTGAATTACTCTCTTTTTTCATTGTGTTGCAGCATGAGAAGAAACTACTGCCAGGTAATTCTGCAGAAAACCGTTTCTGCGTTCCTCCTTCCCTCTCCCTCATTTTTTTGGTGCTAGGCTTAGCCTCTCCACAGAAAGACATTTATTAAACTCCTATTTTTAGCTTTCCTAGAGCGAAGAATCATGAAAACCTGGACCCTCTCACTGTGAGGGACAGAGTTCAGGCACCAGGTGGCTTGATGATATTTTATATCCTTGTTCTTTCTGTCTTCTTTTGTCTTTATGCTAGCCACAGAGGAAATTACCTGGAAAGAATCACATAATAAGGTGTAGCTTAACTCTCTGTCCTTCTTTAATGCATTCAACAAATATTTACCGAGTGCTTAGTAGATGCTAGCCACTGTCCTAGGTCATTGGGACCCCATGGACCCAACGATCACAGACTTTGCCCTCCAGTTTGGGATATAGGCTAGTACGCAGACAGAGAAACAATATGTAGAAAACGTGCTGCAGCAGAGGGAAACACAAGATACTCTGGGAAAGCAGAAGAGACTAGAGAGAGGAAAATAAAGTTAGTTTTGGGGTCTCAGGAACACTTCCTACAGGGGCAGTTCTCAAATGTGAGTGTGCTGAGGATCACCCGGAAGACTGTTAACACACATCCTGCTGGCCCTGACCCTAGAGTTTCTGATTCAATAGGTATGGTTTGAGACCTGAGAGTTTGCATTTCTAGCAAGTTCCCAGGCCACACTAATGCTGCAGGTCTGGAGATCACGCTTTGAAAACCACTGTCTTAGAGCTACTGAAGTCTCAGCATTTGCTACTCAAAGTATGGTCTGCAGATGAGCAATATCACAGCATGAGCCTCACCTAGGAGCTTATTAGAAATGCAGAATTTCAAGTCTTATCCTAGGTGTACCAAGTTAGAATCTGCATCAAGATTACCAGGTAATACTTATACACAGTAAAATACTGGTTCTCAACTTGCTTGCACATTGAAATCACTTGGGGAGTTTAATCAAATCCCCATCCCTGGATTCCGTTCCCAGAGATTCTGATTTAATTGGTACAGGGGATGAAAAGCTCTCTGAGACGTTTCTAATGTGTAGTATACTTTAAGAACCACTGACCTGAGCTAAATGCATCCTGAGTAAGAGCGCCACAAAGAAAGGCAGGAAGAGTGTTATAGGCAACAGAACATGCAAAGGCTCAGTGGCAAGAGAGAACAAAGTGGTTTAGTGAAAGGAGAGGGGTGCGGTGAGCTCAGAGTGTACAGTTAGAGAGAGGGAAAGGGATGGCTTTTGAGGCTAGAGGTTTTTCCCGGATGATCGAACACACTCAGATTTGCATTTTAAAAATGAACAGTTTGTTGGTCATGTGGAAATAAGCTTGGGGGTGTGGAAACAGTGTGCCTGGTGTTAAGTTCAAAATTTTGACTGTAAAGAAACATGTATTGTTGCTCTTACTGAGAATTATCCATTTCTGGGAACAGTGCTCTTTAAACTAAAGATAAGAGCTAAAGGATGGGGTGGAGGCAAAGAAAAGCAGTGCTGAAGGGTAGCAGAGTATGCCACCCCAAAATATGCCACTTTAACATAAGGATTATTTTGAGCTGAAGCTTCATTGAGAAGAAGCAGATACAAGTAAAGCTCTCTGCCTAAAAGCAGGACATAAATTTGTAAAGGTGTTCCCCTTCCCCTCTCTACCTGAAATGACAGAAATTAATCACTGAAGACAACTCTAGACCTTTGTCAGTCCAGAGGCAGACCTTGCTGAAAACAACCCTTATTTTCCATTAGTTCTCACAATATATTTACCTTTCCACAATTTACCAGTGCCCAGAAGCTCTAAGTCCTTTTCCCTTGTCTTGTCCCTTCTCTCCAAATTCATTGTTCTCAAGATGCTATAGAAGCCCCAATTCTAACTACCCCTTTAAGTTACTCACTACTGAGTACCCCCATGGCCATGGGCATTGAATATACTAACAAACTTCTGTTTTGTTTTATTTTGTTTTGTTTCTAGTTAATCTGACTTTTGTCAGTCTAATTTACAGGCCCACAGAAGGAGAACCAGATGGTAGAGGAAGATGTTGTTTCCTCCCCTATGCTACTAACCAATCTATAAGGCTTCATTTTGGCACTTTGGCTTTCATTGTTTGGTTTAACCAATATTTACTGAGCATTATGTACCAAGCCCACTGCTGTGGAAGCCAAATCCAGATCCCTGATGCCCTCCCTTAGCAAAGAGTTGAAAGTTGGGGGAACTCAGATAACAAGTGATTTTTCTAAAGAGCATTGGTTTGAGTCTGGTTGAAAATTTGACAGTGCCATTTAAAGGGAGGATTTTGTGCCATCCAACTCCACTTAAGCCCTCAGCTAAGCCATCAAATGGCCCCATTCATGCTGCAGCTGCAGGATTCCTGAGGCCCTGCCAGTGGGCCCCAGGAATGCAAACGAGGGCTCCGTCTTGGCTTCTGACACCCTGTGAGCTTTGAGGAAGAACAAGTAGGCATTTGTTAGGGGAAGGCCCACAAAGGCACCACAGGAGAGGGGATTGAATGCCCCATGGGATTCCAGGCCAAATGCAAAAGGCTGGTGTAATCTCTGCCACCACAGCTTGTGTGACCTCACTTGCTCGCTGGCTGTGGGGGCAGGTGATGGCCCAGCCTGCTGAGGCAGGGTCCCTAAACAGAGCAGGGGTGGCAGCTCTTCAGGAATACAGTCTGTCCTCTATTACCCACCAGGTAAGGACTATGTGAAGCCAAGCCATGTAAAGGAAGCAAAGACTTTGAAAGGCAAGGAGAGGATAAAAGTATTTTTTTTCCTGGAATCTCTGGGCCATTCCTCCCAATCTGTACCCAAGAGGGAAGTAGTGAAATAAGAACATGGGTTGCAGGTAGAACAACCTTAAAATGACTACAGAAAGCAGCAGAAAATCAAACCATTTCTAGATCATTCTTTGTGAAATTCAGTTCTCCCAGTAACTCAGATATTGTGAATTTGCTCTTGAAGTTCGATTTTGCTATAGTTACAGTGATATGGTTGCTTATACTACCCAAAGGCTGTGTTCCGACACCATGGAACAGCACCCCCAATGGCACTCTGGGTATTAGCACTTTCATATATTATATGTTGACTTAGACTATGCATATAGAACAGAATTGCTCAGCCTCTGCACTGTTAACACTTTGGACCTCATAATTCTTTGTTGTGGGGGCTGCTCTGTGCATTTTATGTGTTTAGTAGCATCCCTGGCCTCTACTCAGCAGATGCCAATAGTGCCCCTCCCAGTCATACTGTTGAAAATATCTCCAGGCATTGCCACCTGTCCTCTGGGGACAAAATTGCCCTCAGTTAGGAACTATTAGGATAGAAGAAAGGTGGGAGAAGTCTTGTTTTGAAATCCTTCAAGAGAATAAAAGAGGAATTGTTAGTCTTTTTGCTTACAATTGGTAGTTTCTCTACAGGAATGAAGTCTTCAATACCCACCGAGCTGCATAGGATTTTTACCTTCAACATAAAATAGAAGTCCTACATAATAAGAAAGCAGCAAGCCACAATTATCATTGGTTGATTCAGTCAAATCAGCCCAACAGTTTGTTGATGTTCACTGGACATTGTCTTCGCTTTGACTACATGCTTACTATTGTTCTAGATGCTCATACAGTTCACACACTGTCAGAATAATTTGATTAAACAATAATGCCC